GAAAATTCTGACAAGGATATGTTTTATGCACCTACGATGTGACTACTGAAGATTTAAATATGAGAATAAGGAAGATGTTTTCATTAAATAGACCCCTGATAGGACTTTTTAAAACAAGACAAGATGCTCCATTAGGAGGAAATGAGTGGAACGTGGGAAGAAATGGCATCTAGGTTCTAAAACATCAAGGACATTCTGATAAGAAACCACAAGGAGATTAAGAACTTAATGCATGGCATGGATGAAAACTGGGAAATATTATACAAAAGACAATGAGTGATCAAGACGCCCAGGAAAAGGAGGAGCCAATTGAAAGAGCAGACGAAAAAGCAGAATAGATTAGCCAGCAAACAAAACAAGACAACAAAAAGGAGACAATAACAAAAACAATAATGACTGATGAAATAAACCAAGGGGAAAATATTTTAAGAGATTTTTAAAGGGAACCAGAGATGCAGGAAGACATTTTTGAAAGAGAGATGGGGCATGGGTAGCTATTTTGGAAACTAGACAATGGAAAAGGGTAGAGGTGGGAGAAATGTTTAAAATGAATAGTCAAGACATAGATGCAGATAGGGATAAAGATGGAAGAGAGGAATGTGGGAGGCAAGTTAAAAAGTGAACAATTAAAGCTTTAAAGCAAACGAGAGATGACAGATAGAAAGGATTTGTTCTTAAATATAATGGTGACATGATTAAAAGTTAGAACAAGGATAAAGATAAGACAGAGGGGCAATATTAGTATACACATTTTTATATAATAAGATAAAAGTAATAATAAGGGAAGATTAGAAATTGAATGATGGTATTACTATGTATATTTAAACAATATTGTGATTGGCATAGGAATAACATATTGAAACATTGAATAATTAAATAATGAAAGTCTATAATTTAATACAAATATTTGTATTAACACTAGAACTACACAAGCTTCAGGAATATAACAAATAAGATTAATATCACTATTTTTATCAGTACTAAAATATATGACACCCTGGTGTCACACTGTTCACACATTGATATGGATATATTGTAAAAAAAAAAAAAAAACTTGAAACAAAAAAAATGATAAATCATAAGACAACAAGTAGAAGATAGTAGGAAAGATGAGAAGATGAGAAATGAGACAGTGCTGTGGGAATTAAGTGTTCAGCAGAGTGATGGTACAGGGGGAAAAACTATCTTTGTGTCCAGTTGTTTTGGCATGCAATGCTTTATAGTAACGTCTTGAGGGGAGAATTTGAAATAGATTATGTCCAGGATGTGAGAGGTCTGTAGATATTTTCTTAGCCTTCTTACTAGTTTGTGCAGCAGACAGATCCTCAATGGGAGACAGGCTGGTTGTAATTGTTTTTTGCAGTCCTAACTATCCATTAAATTCTGTACCTGTCCTGTTTGGTTGCTCTCTCAAACCATACAGTTACTGAGCTACAAATGACAGATTCAGCAATTTATTTGTGAAACTGTATCAGCAGATCCTTGAGCAATCTGAACTTTCTGAGTTGACACAGGAAAACATGCTGTATTGTGCCTTTTTAATGATTATTCTAATATTAGGTGTCCATTTCAAGTCCTTGGAGATAATAGAACCTAGAAACTTGAAGATCTCAATTCAGGAGTGGGATTCTACTGATTTGGACTGGGTCAGTAGAACTGGTTGTTCCTATACTGCTCAGTTTGGAGAATCAGCAAATCAAGCCCCTGGCTGGGCCCGCCCATCCCCACCCAGTCAGTCCTTATTGCGCCTGCACGACATCGTGCACATATGCAACATTGTTGACTGCATTCTCCCCCACCCACCCTGCCCCACCCCATCACTCCTTATGGTATTTCTTTTTTTTCCTCCCGATGATCAGCTCTTCTGATGATCAGTTGTGCTGGTATCCTCCTCACCGTCTTACTGCAAAAACAGCCTCCTAGGAGGCTTTCCCGAGGCCCAGGAGCCCCTCCCCAAAAATGGAGTGGAGGGTGCTGCAAAAAAAAAAGAAGCCATGCCCACTCAGTCACATGAACATACCCATCTAGCCACTCCTGTTAGCAATGATAGTCACCTAACAGTTGGGTTGGCAATATATAAAACAGGATAGTCATTTAATACTGTTGTATCTTTAAGAAAATGCTGTAATTGTGATTGGCTGAGGTTCCTCCAATAGCCATAAGATGGAGCCAGAAAACTGGTTTGTTCTCTTTTGCATTTCCTTTTTGCCTTTTGCCTGAATATCATTCTACTTGGATTGCTGTGAGTCTTGCCACTGTTTGCAAACTCCGTTTACTGAACTTTGTTTATGATACTGGTAAAGAAAAGAACTTCATTTTTGGATTATCCCTGGACTGATTGTTTTGAATACTAACTGCTTTAACCATATATGATTTGGACTGTTTGTTGGACTTTGTTTACCCATTTACTGGAAGTAAAACTTACATTTTACTATTCAGTGTATCTGTGTACTGGTTGTGTGTTATTCACTATGTTTGCCTGAGTGCACTCATTTCTCCTAATGGGGAATACCTCAACACCTCCCACCTAGCCATGCCCACAGAACCAGTAGTAAAAATATTTGCATCCCACCCCTGTCTATATTGTTGGATCTGTGTTGTCTAATATTGTAAGAGGTAGCAGAATAGGACAGCTTCTTTTAAAACCTATTATTTCTACAGTTTTAAGTGTATTCAACTCCAGATTGTTCTGGCTGCACCACAGGGACAGTTGATCTACCTCCTATCTATATGTAGACTATACACATTTCAAATGAGACCAATGGCTGTTGTGTCATTTGCAAACTTCAGGACTTTAACAAAAGGATCTTTTGAGATGCAGTCATTGGGAGAGAGAGAGAAGAGTAATGGAGAAAGCACACAGCCCTGGGTGGCTCCTGTGCTAATTGAATGGGTAATCAATATGGTTTTCCTTAACTTCACCTACTGCTTCCTATTCATTAGAAAGCTTATAATGTATCTAGGCACAGCTATCTGAGTCAATTTAGATAAGAGAATTTCAAGAATGATTGTGTTGAATGCTGAGCTGAAGCCTACAAAAAGAACTTTTGCATAGTTCTTGTAAGAACTTGTTGTAAGATGTAGTGCAATTTCCATACATTAGCTGGTTCATTTGTGGAGAGCTGATTCCTCAGCTTTTCAGAGTAGCTTCTCTTTGCTGCCCTGAACTCCCTTGTAATACATTCCTGGCCTGATTGTACAGTATTCTATTTCACTTCCCATAGACTTCTTTGCTATGGCATAGATGTTTGAACTTAGCTGTGAACCAAGGTTCATTATTATTGTAGATGTTAAGGTTTGGGGGTCAGTACACATAAGTCGTCACAAAAGCTAACATATGATGTCAATAGTATCAGTTAGTTCATCCAAGTCCCCTGAAGCAACTTCAAAAACATTTCAGTCTGGGTTGTTCAGGCAAGCCTATAACTTTAACTTTGCCTCTTCACTCTAAAACTTTACTGTTTTAGCTATTGGTTTTATGATTTGAAATCTTTGTATATAAGTAAGTACAATGTGAATCATACAGTGATCAGAGTGTTCCACAGCCATTCTTGGTATGTTGAGTAGCAGTGATCTAAAATATTCTTGCCACTGGTGAGACAGTTGACATGCTGAATGTATCTTGGCAACTCCTGGCTTAGGTTAGCACTGTTAAAATCTCCTAAATACAATGAGTAGAGAGTCTGGATATCTCTGTTCAGCCCACAGGATTTGGTCAATTAAGGTTTGCAATGCCTTATTTATGCAAGCTTGGGGTGGTATGTAGATGCCACCTAGGATGAATGAAGAAAACTCTTGGGGGGAGGTTGTGAATATTAGAGTATGCAAGTGATGAATAGAGTAAGTCCACATCACAAAATTTATTTAGCATAGTGACATTTTTATACCATTGGTTGTTAATATAAAAGCAGATATCTCCACCCTTTTTTTAATGGGATGTTTCTGCAATTCTATCTGTTCTTTGAATCCAAAATCATGGGATTTGCAAGCAGTTATCATTAATGACAATTAATTTAATTAACACTTAAATAATTAATTTACAGTGATATATTATAATTTTACTTAGACAACTATAGGATAGCATACCTTGATTTGAGAAACAGCATGCAACACTAAATAAGTAAATACCTTTTATGAATTGTTTTTACCTATACTTTGGAACAGACTTATCTGATGTACTGTTTTCTCCTTCCCAAAAAGGGCTGCACTTTTCTTTGCATCTTTGGTCTTCCTGGTGACAAGCAAGCAGATGAAAGCACAAATGCTCTTGATAGTGCCCATAAAATCCATGCTTTCTGTTCCACAGCACTTATGAAAGTAAAGTAAGTAAATGAGAGTGGGATATCATGAAGATATATCTGATCTTATGTAGTGCTTCAGCTCTAGCTTTCCATATCAAGAAATGCCATGTTTGCATCCTAGTTCTAATTCTGTATTTGTAGGATCATGAATAGTTGTATCAGCTAAAGCCTGGGTTCAAATTTCAGGGAAAATTATTGGGACAATCGGCAAACTATTTGGAGATCAATAACATTCATTTTTCTTTTCAGCCTATATTTGTTTCCCATCATCGCTCCATTTACAAGGCAGTTACTAACTCAACTTTGAGATGAGCTCTCTTTTTTTGGTTATTCATCATCTCTGAATTAGATGATGAATAACAAAAAATCTTAATCTCAAAGAAAACAGATGCATCTCCTACATTTTATTCTGTGTGCAGATTGTAAGTGGATTGCTTATATAACTAAAACTGTATCACCTGGCACAAAAGGAAGGTTATAGGAATATTTACTGAGGCAACCCAAGGTTTGTAAAATTATAGAAAATCTTAGTTAAAAATGACACACAATCAGAGAAAATTGTAAAATTGCTCAAGAATAGCTGAGCATGCTCAATGGGTAGTGGATGTATGTGCATGGTTTTGAGGAATGGAACAAGAAAGTGAGGGACAGTGATGAGGATAGTCGAAAATGAAGATGCTGGGATTTTAAGCAAAATTCTTTGTAGATTTCATGTTGGATAGATAATTGCAGGTAAATCATTGTTCCAGGAAATCTAAAGAAGTTTAGAGTCCAGTGCAGCCTATCATTTTCAAGAGATGTTTTTGCCCTCTTCACACATTCAGTTACTTTTGTTCCATTTTGTGTTGTAGGATTGTTTCTATTGGGGTCACTGGTGGGCCAGTTTTCTGTGGAGTCGTTGGTCATCGTGTGAGGCATGAATATACAGGTGCAATTGTAATGAATATAAATGTTAGCAGTCAAATAAAGTACTGGAAATAGTAATAATGCACACACACACACACACACACACACACACACTATATGTATGTATGTATGTATGTATGTATGTATGTATGATTTAATAAATAGGTCAACCTGTTTTCCAAAGCACCAAAAGGCAGGACAAGAAACAATGAAACAAGAAACAATGGATGGAAACTAATCAAGGAGAAAAGCAACCTGGAATTAAGGAGAAATTAGCTAGCAGTGAGAACAGTTAAAAAGTGGAAGGGCTTGCCTTAAGGAGTTGTGGGTTTAGCGGCTTTTAAGATGAGACTGGACAGCCACTGCCTGGAATGATATAGAGTCTCCTGCTTGATCATGGGGTTGGACTAGAAGACTGCTAAGGTCCCTTCCTATTCTGTTGTTTAAAACATGTATACAGTGTCCTATCTTATAACCAACTCCAAAAATAATTGTTATTATAAAACACCTCAAAGCAGCAGGGGCTATTTAGATTTCTGTGGACAGAAAAGTCTGTAACCAGGATGCTATTACCCAGAAGGTTAGCCCTATCAAAATTTGAAGAACAACTGAGGCTCAGAATGATGACTTCCCAACTGGGAATGCTGGTTTTGATTTCAGAAGAAAGATTCTGCTACTAATATCAAATAGAAGTCAGGTGTCAGTCAGCAATTTTGGATTCCTTTGTTTTTGTTTATTCATTGGGTCTGCAAAGACTTCTTCCTAAAGAGACTCTTGATTTCCTTGTTGGAAATTTATTACCCTAGTGCTAGGAAAACTAAATCTATCTACAGGGTTGTCAGACTACAGAACTTTTCCCATTCAATCAACAACAGTTGGATTCCCAATTTCTCTGGAAGGGCATCAGGTGCATCCTGAATCCAGCAATGCTGCAACTTCCTCCCCCTTCCCTCGGCTTGAGATAAACAGTCTCAGGGGTAGAGTGATTGGTTCAGTTGGGTTGCTTACCAGCAGGTCATCTTACAGATCACTTTCGGACTGGCTCAGGTCCCCTTGGAGTGTTGGGGATTCTTCCTTTGGGTTGGGGGGGATTGGAATCCCACAGCTACTCGGCTTCTCAGGCCAGTCTCCTTTCCTCGAGGGCTGGATGTTCCAGATTTCCCCCCGATGGGTGGTCTGACTTTCTCGCAGGGGTTTTTGAATGGCATTCTGTTGCGTGGTGTCCCTCCTTTCCACACTTAAAACAACCAGACATTCTTGGAGTCATGGTGGTTTGGGGTTTGAAAATTTCCCATTTCCCCTGGGGTGGGGATCTTTTCTGAAGCTTGCCACTGCAGTACCGATTAGGAGTCATGTCTATCTCCGCCTCCTCTGCCATCGTGTACCATTCATGCAGGAGGTTTGGAGCCCCACAGGCCAGACAGGCAGCATATAGGTCATCATTGAGTCCATCTTTGAACCAACAGACTAGGATATCCTCTGGCCAGTTGACTCAGCTGGCCAGGTCATGAAATTCCTCGGTGTATTCAGCTACTGGGTGATGGCCTTGCTTTACGACTCTGATGCGGTTGCAGGCTTTTCTATCAGCAAGGAGTTTTTCAAAGTGGTGGCTTAGGGCCATCATGAAGCGATCGAGGTTCCATAATTTTGGGGCATTGACGTTGTGCAGCACTACCATCCATCTGGCTGTTCCCCTTCAAGGGCCAGGGTGATGACTCATACTCGGGACTCCTGGGTTGGGAAATCCCACCCGTATTCTTGCATGTAGGTGAGCACTTGTGCCAGGAAAAATCCCAGTTTCTGGGGGTCTCCATCGAATTTTACTCCCAGGGGTGGGACCTTCCTCTGCAGTTGTATGTCTCTGAGTTGGTCAGGTTTAATCCCCTGTTCTGGGGCTATTAGCGGTCGGGTATCTGGTATGGGTGCTGGTTCTTCGGCTTGTCCTGCTACCTGATCATTCTCATCTGGAGCCAGGGTGGCGGCTCAAGTTCTCTCATTTTCTGGTTCCCTCACTCTCCTGCATTGGCGTCCTGATGCATCCCTCACCTCAAGGTTCTCCAGGCTTCCCTCATGAGGCGATTTATGTATAGTCACAGTCGGTTGTCAGCTGGTGGCTCCTCGCCCCATTCTTCCTGATCCAATAGGGCCTCCACTCCAATTACCACCCGGGTTTATGATTACCCTGGGTGAGGGTTACTCGCCTGGTTCTTCCGTCCCAGCTGTCTCTTTTTCCTGCACCTATAGACCACCAGGGCTTTGTGGAGGTTTCTCAGGCAGCTTCGCTATCTTCGATGGGGTGTACTGAGTCAGTGTCTGGCTGGGTAACTGTCAACGTTTCTCCCCAGCATTCAGCTTCCCCCTTGATCCTTGCTGTATTCAGACATTTTTCTTTTTTTGCAGGGTCCCCTCAGTAGAGTGAAGGTTTTTAAAAAAATATTTCCTCTCTGGGCTGACCTCTATTGCAGATGCTGCTTTATGTCAGGCTACAGAACTTTTCCCATTCAATCAACAAGAATGAACTTCTGAAAACCAAACGTAACAAAAGGAATCCTTTATTGAGATGAGACAATTCATGTAGGAGTTCAAAGCAGCATCTAATGTCTCTCAGGCATACCGGGATAGATAAGGGCGTTTAAGACCCCTCCCCTTCTCTTGATGTGTATTTAGTAAAACAAAGAGCCAACATGTTTATTTCCCCCCCTCTTCTGAGAATGATCTCTTTTGAGGTTCCTAGGAGACATCTCCCAACAGGAATTTTTATGGTCTCTTCATCCTGTGGCTGTCTCTTTCAGAGGTGATAGGTTTCCCAGCATCTGGTTTTTGTCCCTCCATAGTGTATCATGGGTTATCCAAATTCAATATAAGATTTAATATATCCATGTTACATCAAAAAGGATTTCTTATACCAATCCCCGCCCCCCTTCTTCTTCCATGAAGAATGGCAGATACACAGATCTGACAAGGGTTGTTTTAAATCCCAAGTTTGGGGGACTTTAGGGGAGGAAGGAATCTGACATTTCTGCTGGTCTTTCTAAATGGTGAAAGAAGTTCTGTTCCATCTTCTGCGTTAGGAAAAGTATATTTTATAACAAAGTTACTTTAGTCAATTGTTTTAAGTGACTCAGTCCTAGACATCATCTTGTTTGCAATACTGGTTGAAGAGTAATGTACATACAATTGCAAGCTTTTCCCTTTTTCTTTCCATGTTAGTGATTGGACGAAAAGTTAACCTTGCTGCACGGATGATGATGTTTTATCCAGGATTAGTAAGCTGTGATGCCCTCACTTATTCCAAATCTAAATTGCCTCACTACTTCTTTGAAGAGCTCCCGTTAGTTGAGATGAAAGGTGTTGTGAACCCTGGAACAGTCTATCAATTTCTTGGTATTACAGAGAAAGCGTAAGTACAATTTTGTCTGTAGATAGCTGCACAAGAAAAATAGTTTACTCTGGCTACCTAAACCTTTGAGTACAGAATACTGTAGGTTCAAGAAACATCCCTTTTCAGCAAAGCAGGTCGTTCATTTTGCCTCTACTGCTGGAGGACGATTTCTCACATCCTCTTGTTATGTCTACAGGAAGAAAATGTATCCTTTCTTATATCTGCTTCAGTGATTCTGGAAATGCAACTTACATCAAAGGCATTTTGCTTTCACTGTTTCTTCTCTCAGGCACAACAAAACTTCGCTCATTTCTAGTTGGATATTCTGTATGTTCAACAAAAGAAATAGTTTAGAAGGATACATCTTTTTTCAGCTGTAAGTATGTAGATCTGTGGAGAAGGCAGGTACAGCGTGATGGGATGCTTCTCTGGAAAAGGGAAACATGGTGGTGTGACCCTTCCTCAAGATTTTCAATCTGGTAGTTTTAAATAATTACTTGGCTGCTTCCAGCCTTTCCATTTTGGAGAGGGGAGTATTAAGAGTATTGCACTTACAAAGAATTTAGGAGGAAATGGATTTTCTGTACTTTCTCAGCCAGAGTTCAAGGGCCAGGTACAAACAAAATATATGCAGAACACTTCTGTGGCAAGAATGGAATAGGATAAGTGATTAATTGCTCAATTGTTGTTAATACTGATCATCATATCCTTCTGGACCATTGAGAGTGGAGGGCAGAATTCTGCAGGGGTTCTCCTTGTTAATTGCATGGTTCTAGTTAATGGTAGTAGGACATAAGAGATCAAGACGTAGGTATCTTGATTGTGGCCACCAGAGGGATTAACACTTCGCTACCTCAGAATTACAGGGTTCTATCTGACATTTTTGTCAAAAATGAGTTAAAAGTATGACAAGAATCTATTTAACATGATTTAATTTTTTAACAATTTATTTTGTAAAATTTCTAAATAGATTCGCCACAAATAGCAAAATTACAAGGTTCTATCACATGAAAACCCAGAACTGCAGGGTTCTATTTGCAGTAGCCAATTGTCATGCTTGGCTGCTCCCATGTGACAGAGAAAGGATGGAGCCTGCAGCATCTAGTGTTGCCTCCATTTCTAGACACATGAATACTGGAATAATGTCTCTTTTCCATGATATGGAAGCAAGTTCAGACTTATATGAACTGAGTGGATCTGAGTGTGTTCCAGAAACTGAAGATGACCAATTGGATACGGAACTTATAATTGAAAACGAGTGAGTCAAACTTTCTTACTATCAAACTGTATTCAACAATGAATTTAACCTGGCATTCCACATACCCCCCCCCCCCCCAAAAAAAATAGCTTTGACCTTTGTGAAGAACAAAGGTCTTGCCTGCCTACCTTGCTTGCATACCTGCCTTTTCAATTGGGCAGGTAGAACACATGCTACAAAAGAAATCTGATTCGTATATCCAACTGAAGAATTTAATGAGAGATTACAGACAGGAAGAAAGAGGAGACAAAAACTAGGCTGGTAATATGTTTTGACATGGAAAATGTCATCACTTTGCCAAAATCTGGTGCAAGCAGTTTTTTTTACAAGCATAAACTTAACTTGTATAATATGACTGCTCACACATCACATACAGGACAAAGGTACTGTGCCATTTGGACAGAATTAATGGGAGGATGTGCTGGAAACGATATAGCTAGTGCCGTGGTACAGATTTTGGAAAATGTAGTGCAAGATCAACCACATGCAGTGCATCTAACATTATGGAGTGATAGCTGCATTCCACAAAATAGGAACTCACACATGTCTTTTGCAATAACAGATTTTCTTCAGAATCACCCAAACATTGAAAGCATTGAAATGAAGTTTTCTGTACCAGGCCATTCTTGCATTGAAGAAGTGGATAATATGCATAGCATAATTGAAGTGCTACGCTACAAGCAGAATTCTTTTCACCAGTTTCTTTTGTAAGATTGTTCAAAAAAGCCAAGCGACACCAGCTGTTCAAAATCATCCAGATGAAGCCTGCGCATTTTAAAAATTACTCCATGTGTTCAAAGCAGTTTCAGTACAGTAATGTGCCATATGCTAAAGTTTCACAACTAAAATTCATCCCAACCCATTCAACAGTAAGGTTCAAGAAAACCTTTGCTGTGGAAAATAGGACCACGGTCACCATCTGTGCCTTTGAAAAGAAGACAAGGAGCGTTCGCGGGAAACCTCTTTCACCAACACTGCCTGCCACATCTGTTACGTTGCCTGTGCCTAAGACAGAGTTACAGGTACACACACTATCCAAAGCAAAACAAGATGACATAGAAAATATGCTCAAATGGATGCCTAAAGTCGATAATGGCTATTACTGCACCATTTTGAAGAAACTGTTATGCAAAACTGGGGTTAAATAGTAATTCTCGGTATTAAGACATGCATTTACATTCTTACATTTAATGCTGAACCTTCAAATAGTAATTTACAAGCATTTTATGATCACAAAAACAAATTTAAGTGAATATCAAGTTGAATTCAGTGCTTTTTAAAAAAAATATATTAAATTTTGTAATTCTCATTTTTATGGTGCAAGTTAGTGTGATAAAGTTCTATCTGATATTTGGAGCCTTCAGTATGACCCCAAGATGAGTCACCATCAGCCTCATTTTTTTTCCTTGCATGCACTATTTGTTGGTAGGCTCACATACCAATTTTTCCATCTATGTACAATTTTTCCATCTCAGTACAATTTTTCAAATGTTTAAGGCTCATTTCCTGAAAAATGGTCACAACACACATAGAACCTTGTAATTCTGAGGTAGTGACTTCTCTATTCCTGATTTAACAATTACATGAAGCCGGGGAAGATGAAGTATTGGCATAGAATCAGATATCCGCAGTAGGAAGATGGTATTTATCTGTATATCTTAAATCTGGCCTGATCAGGAGGTGTTTCTGACATTCTCTTTCAGTGCCTGAAAACTGTGAGATTCTGGATGGGGAAGAATAGTCTCAAATTTAATCCCAGAGAGATGGAATGGCTTTGATTCCAAAGATATTTCACCTTTACTTCTGAACAGGATTGTATAGGGTTGATTGATAATTTGACTTATGGCTCCTGCTTGAGAAACAGGTGTGGCTACAATTAAGAGGACTTCTGAACAGATCCAGCTTGTGCACCAATTATAGTATTTCCTGGATTAGGAATCTTTGCTCATAATCATTTCTGTATTAAGCACCTCTTGTTGGGGCTGCCCAGTCTGGAAGCTGCAACTGGTCTGGAATGCAATAATTCTTGAACATTAAATCATTTAAGCAAAGGAGGTTCTTGTCATAAAAGGACAAATGTGGTATACTATTAGTAATTCTTCTAAGGCAATTTGGGAAATGTTAGCATAAACTTCATTTTCTTCTCTCTCTCCCCTTCTCTCCACCCCCATTTTTTAAAAATAGAATGATTTACAAAGCATATTTAACCAAGGAGAGATCTGAACTTTATCCTTTACTAGGTACGTGAACTGATCTATTGTAACATAGCAATTAATTATTGGAATGCTAGAATAAACTTGCTATTGATTTTTGAGATGTCTGTCTAATCTTTTGATTCAATTTAATCTGCATAGCTCTGCATAGCAACAAATATTTATGCTGCCGTTTCAATGATCCTTCTATGCATATCTTCAGATACATATTTACTGTATAATTCTATAGATGTCTACTTAGAAATCAGAGCTGTTATGTTCAGTGGATAGTGGGCAAAACTATGGCATTTTAAAAAGTATTGCCAAGAAATGCACAGTTGCATGTATTCATACACATTTATTTATTTAACAAATTTATATAAATATACATAAAACTGTAAGTAAAAGCAAAACAAAAAACAATAAACACTGAAGATTTTTAAATATTATGTTTGGATACACAGTATTTACATTATTATTTACATAATTATTTAATAATTACACAGGAATTATTATTATGGTTCATTTCATAGTCAGCCAGACTGCATTTGGCATTTTTATCCACTTATCAAGACCTTTCCAAGGACCTAGGATAGGCAATTATTGATGTTTTATGGTTTTAGTGCTATCATTGAGTAAGCTGTTTGTAAATGACTGATGGTGAGTTGGTTAATGTTGATGGTGTTCAAGTAATCCTTGAGTTGTTTTGGGATTGCAGCCAAGGCACCTATTCCTATTGGTACTCTCTTTCCTTTCATTTTACCACAGTTCTATTTCTATTTGCACAACTTTGTATTTTTTTTATCTTCAATTCTTTCTCTTCTATTCTGCTTTGTCCAAGTTCTGCTACATTTATTATCAGACTCTGTTGTTGTCTCGCGTATCGTCTGGAATGTTATGCAGCAGGTGCCTGTCTGTTTGAATTCTAAAGTCCCAAAACAATTTAGCTTCTTTATTTTCTATTATTTTCTCTATTTTATGATCTTATTTTTTTATTTTATTTATTTAATTAATATAAATTATTATTTATAGTCTTTTTCTTATTTATAAATACAACAATATGAAATCATAATGTCAGTTCTTTTAGCTGGTGTTGGCCTTCATAGGTATCAAATTCTTCTCAATAACCTAGGATGTTGAAATGTATCATAGTAGTATATGTGCAGATCCAAGCAGCATGGCCTATTTTAATTGACAGTTGGAAATATTGTCAATATGCAAATTGCCTAAGTGGTGTCGAAGATTTTTTTTTTTGATATGGCATTTGTGTGTCAATAACCACTGGGACCATCACCACTACTAGAGCATCAAGATCACAAGAAATGATACTTCCACCTTATACTGTATTAGTGAGGCCACACGTAGAATATTGCATCCAGTTCTTAGAATGTTCAACATTCTTAGAATATTGCATCCAGAATTTTAAAGGAGCTGGCAGAGGTCATCTCAGAACCACTGCAACATATCTTTCAAAAATCCTGTAGCACCGAGGAACTACCAGAGGACTGGAAAAGAGCTAATGTGGTTTCCATCTTCAAAAAAAAAAACAGGCCCAGGAAACTATAGACAATCAGCTTAACATCAATACCAGGGAAGATACTGGAAAAGATAATAAAAAACATATCTGCCAATATCTAGAAACAAGTAAAGTAATAACTTGCAGTCAGCATGGGTTTGTTAAAAACAGATCATGCCAAACGAGTCATATTTCATTCTTCAACATAGTGACTAAATTATTAGACCAGCAAAATATGGTGGACATAATATATTTAGATTTCAGCAAGGCATTCAACAAAGTAGACCACAACCTACTTCTTATTAAGCTAAAAAAAAGTGGAATAGATAGCACCACCACTAGATGGACTCGCAACTGGCTGACAAACCATACTCAACGAGTAGTCCTTAATGGGTCTAAGTCTACACAGAGGGAAGTAAGCAGTGGGGTGCCACAAGGTTCCGTCTTAGGCCCAGTATTCTTCAATATCTTCATTAATGACTTAGATGAGGGAATAGAAGGGGAACTTACCAAATTTACAGATGATACTAAGCTGACAGGAATAGCTAACACTCAAGAAGATAGGCTCAAGATTAAGATGGATCTTGACAGACTAGAACACTGGGCCATATATAACATAAAATTCAATGTAGAGAAAAGTAAAGTCCAAAAGTACCCATATAGACTGGGTGAAACCAGGCTCAATAGCAGTAACTGTGAGAGAGATCTTGGAGTCTTAGTGGACAACCAGCTAAACTGGAGCCAGCAGTGTATAGCAGCAGCCAAAAAAGCTAATGCAATCCTAAGTTGCATTAGCAGAGGGATACAATCAAGATCAAGTGGGGTACTAATACCACTCTATAAAGCCTTAGTAAGACCACACCTAGAGTACTGCATCCAGTTTTGGTTACCACATTATAAAAAAGATGTTGAAACTCTAGAAAAAGTACAGAGAAGAGCAACCAAGATGATTAGGGGACTGGAGACTAAAACATATGAAGAATGGTTACAGGAACTGGGCTTAGCTCGTCTAGTGAAGAGAAGGACCAGGGGAGACATGATAGCAGTCTTCCAATATTTGTGGGGCTGCTACAGAGAGGAGGGGGGTGGTCAAGCTATTTTCTAAAGCACCTGTAGGCCAGACAAAGAATAACGGATGGAAACTGAAAAAGAAGAGATTCAACCTGGAAATAAGGAGAAACTTTCTGACAGTGAGAACCATCAACCAATGGAACAGCTTGCCCTTGAAAGTTGTGGGAGCACCATCACTTGAGACCTTCAAGAAGAGATTGGACTGCCATTTGTCAGAAATGGTGTAGGGTCTTCCGCTTGAGCAGGGGGTTGGATTAGATGACGTATAAGGTCCTTTGAATTCTGATTATCTGTTAATACCCTCAGTTCTTGTCACCACAACACAAAAAAGATGTTGAGACCCTAGAAATAGTGCAGAGAAAATCAACTAAGATGATTAGGGGTCTGGAGGCTAAATTATATGATGGACCGTTAAGGGAAGTAGATATGTCCAGCCTTATGAAGAGAAGAATTTGAATGACATGATAGCTGTCTTCCAGTACCTGAAAGGCTGTCCCACAGAGTTTAAATTTATTCTGTAAAGCACTTGAGGGCAGTGTGTGAAGTAATGGGTGGAAGCTAAAAAGAGATTCAACTAAAAAGTAAGAAATTTCCTGACAAGGAGAACAATTAATTAGTGGAACAACTTGCCTCCTGGAATTGTGGAATCACCATTGCTGGAGGTTTTCAAGTAAAGATTAGACAACCATTTGTCCGGGATGGATTAAGGTCTCCTGTATTGGGCAGAGAGTTGAACTAGAAGACCTCCAAGATAGGGGACCCTCTTTTCTCTGCTGCCCAACCTTCAACCATTGCTGATTTTATCTTTGACATAGACAGGGTTTATTGTGGAAAATCTATGGAAGAAGAACATGTCTGGAAGGAAATTGGTGAAAAGTGTCTCTAAAGAACCCCAGAAGAGGTCACAATATTATCTAAATATGGGCTTGTGATTGTTTTGCATGCATGTGTACACAGAGAGATAAATACAGAGAGATGTACATTTCTTTTGCTTAGTAACCATTATGAATATTCCAACAATGCAGTAATTATTCGATATAGTTTGTCATTCAAAAGCTAACTTATTTTGTGAATGTCTATTTTAGTATAAAACATAATTCTTTTGTTCTTTGTTTTCCTTTATTATTTTCTTCCAGGTCGCAAGAAGGAGACTGACATCTTTGAAAACTTACTGGAAAAATTTAAAGAAACTAAAATAAGCCATGTTATAATATATGAAGGCCTCATGGGATATGGAAAAAGCCAACTAGTAACTGAAATTGCCTATTTAGGCCAAGCTCCTGGGCAAAAGTTGGTGCTTTTACATCTGTTGATAACACATTTTTAGAAATTTGCCTTTTTCTCTCCAATCTTTTCATTTTTCCCTGGTCCTAGCTCAGTTCTGAGCATTACAAGCATATTGTTTTGTGTCTACAGCCTTCAGCAATGACAAGTGTCAATGGTTTTAAAACACTATGGACCTTAAAGGAGATCACTAGAGGTTGATGATATTTCTGTGATAAATTGTTTATTCATGGGTCTCTTCCTCACAGTTTTAGTAAAGGGCTTATCAGGTACAAAAGCAAAAGTATTTTTAAAATCCTGCTTTTTCAAAGTCCAACTTTTGTTTCCATAGAGTATAACACAAAAAATCATTTTCATTCTTTCTTAGATATTGACACAACATGGTATTTGAGTATCTTTTCTAAATCTTTCATTGCTACCCTACCAAGTGCTAGTATCTGTAGAATATTTGATTTCTGGTTTCTGGTGTGTGTGTGTGTGTGTGTGTGTGTGTGTGTGTGTGTGTGTGTGTGTATACACGCAGAGGCAGTCCTTGTTTAATGACCATTTGTTTGGTGGTCATTCAAAGTTAGGTAGCGTTGAAGAAATAGTAGTTATGCCTGGTCCTCAAAATTATGGCTATTGCAGTGCCCCCATGATGATATGATCAAAATTTGGGCACTTGCAATTACAATCATAGGGAAGCTTCAACTCCTCCAACACACCTATCTCACTCTTTTGGCAGACTTGCACTTCATCATCATATGAGCCAGCAGTGTGCAGCAGCAGCCAAAAAATCCAATGCAATCCTAAATTGCATTAACAGAGGGATACAATTAAAATCAAGTGAGATACTAATACTACTTTATAAAGCTTTAATAAGAGCACACCTAGAGTACTGCATCCAGTTTTGGTTACCACATTATAAAAAAAGATGTTGAGACTTTAGAAAAAGTGCAGAGAAGAGCAACCAAGATGATTGGGGATTGGAGATTAAAACATATGAAGAACGGTTACAAGACCTGGGCATGGCTAGTCTAGTGAAGAGAAAGACCAGGGGAGACATGATAGCAGTGTTCCACTATTTCAGGGGCTGCCGCAGAGAGGAGGAGATCAAGCTATTTTCCAAAACACCTGTAGGCCAGACAAGAAATAATGGATGGAAACTGAACGAAGGAGAGATTTAACCTGGAGATAAGGAGAAATTTTCTGACAGAACAATCAACCAATGGAACAGCTTAGCCCCCGGAAGTTGTGGGAGCTGCATCACTGGAAACTTTCAAGAAGAGACTGGAGTGCCATTTGCCAGAAATGGTGTAGAGCTTCCTGCTTGGGTGGGGGGTTGGACTAGATAACTTACAAGGTCCCTTCCAACTCTGTTAATCTGTAAACAATTTCTGTGACCTTGCTGCCCTGCACTCCACTGGCCCTGCACCCACAGCTGACCTTTACTATCTTCTTCATGCTGCTGCTGATGATAATGCAAAGTGAAGGACAGAAGGACTGGCAGAGGCAGCAGAGTGCAGGGTAGCCAAGTGGACAGAATTGGGAGGGGGGAGTTGAAAAGGAGGCTGTCTTTTACTTTATCAAGGCTCAAGGCTGTGAGAGACCAAAGCAGGAATGACTTGGATCGGGATCTGTCCCTCCCTAATAACTGCCTGGGATTTGAATAATGACTGCAACTAGAATTGCCAGGATTGTTGTCACAAAGCAATCACATGATACATGCTGAATTAATAAGAGTATCTCATCTCATCTCCTTTGCTGATCAGAAACCAGTCTATTTTGCCATGTTTCTGTCTGTACTGTGTCTTCCTGACCTGTCTATAAGAACATGGGGACAATAACCTGTTCTAATGTTCCCAGTTTCCTAAGCACATTCCACAGTTTGACATAGTCAAAACAGTCAAAGGCCCTTCAATGAATATTGACTGCTTTTGAATAATCTTTGACTTTATCATCCAATATATATCACCAATAATAATCTCTTGTTCCTCAATCTTTTTAAAGCCAATTTGGAATCTCCTTTCCATGTATGCTTTGTATTTCATTATTAACAAATATTAATTCCTTCATCTTCATATTCTTGGAGGCTTTAATTCTTGTAACACTAAATTTTAGGTTAGCATATACTATGTAGCTTTTGACTTGAATGATATATTTATTAACTGATGCTTAGTACGCTTAGTCATGATTCTTTGAATAAACTCATAATTAGCTGAGTTTGTCCAGTATATTTAGCTCAGATTAAATAAAATGTATTATAACTTTGCATATGTGTGAAACAGGTTCACATTTTTTCACCCAGGCTAGAAGTAAAGTCATACATGCACACACACACACACACACACACACACACACACACACACACACACAC